CGATAAAATTTAAATTTTCCAAAAGACCCCGTGGTTTTTTGTTATTTGGGCCCCGCAAAATTTTTACAAACCAAATTTAGTAATGTTTTAAGGGGAAATGGGATTGAAAATTTTAAAAGGGATTAAATCAAATGATTTAATTAAAGAAAAATAAATTAATAAAAAATATGATATGATAAAACTGTTATGAATAATCCAGCGTTGCGCCATTAATAGTTCCAGTTTCGCCGTAAAATTTAAAATTATGTCCATTTTGCCGTCGCATTTAGAAAATGAGGTATTATTCAGTATTCTAGCGCTTATAAAATCAAGATCAAACTTATAGGCAGTAATATGTAAAATTATGTTATAATAATATATCAACAATAACCAACTTATTATTGATTATTTTATGTTTTAGACAATAAAAAAACAGTACACAGTTTTGGAAAAATAAAATCTCGCGTTTCGCAATAGAATAACATCGGCGGCAAACGGAGTATTATGAAAAGAGGTATAAAAAGCAACAATACAATGAATGTTTATAATACAAAAAAAATTACTGGAAACATTGATTCCTTAATATATCAACAATATGACTTTATTTTACGTATATACTAATGCAAATTAAATTAAAAAATTAATGTATAGAAAAGCTATTACAGTAGCTTTTCGTAAAAAATAACGAATTTGAACGGGGGAAAAAAATGAAACAGATTGTAATTCCATACTTGTCTTCCAGCTGTCCAGCCATAACGATAAAAACGTATCTAATTCCATTTTTAAATTAAATAAAGCAGACTTTTATTACAACCATCTTCAAAAAATTCAAGTTAATATCTTTAAATAATGATTCTCTTCTTCATATTACTACTTAATTAGGCCATTTTTAAATTCCGTTGCGTCGCCAAAAAAAAAAAATCTCCGTTGCCGCAGACAAAAATGTCCAATTTCGCCGACCACACAATCCTTTACAACATCAACATTGCAGCTATTTGATTATTTGATATACGTTAAGGTTTTTAAAAATCTTCTTTTTAGATTTATTTATTCAAATAACATTGGTGTTAATTAATTTCATAATATTAGTACAAAGTTTTTGGGGGATTTTAAAAAAAAAAAATCTTTTTTTGGCAAAAGAAATTTTCCCTTTAGGGGCCAGGCCTTTAAAAATTTAAATTCCCTTTAGTGTTTAAAAAAATACAATTTATTTAAAAAATTTTTTTAAAAATTTTTTTATTTAAAAATGGGCCAAAAAAACAAATAATTTTAGATCTGGGAAAAAACAAACATAAATTGATTTAAAAAAAAAGGCGGGGTCGGTTTTTTTCCCAAAAAAAAAAATTTCCCCCTTTTTGCCAGAAATTTTCCATTTCGGCCCCATAAGGTAACCCCGCAGTGCAAAAATTTAAAATTTTACAAAATTTTGAAAATTTTTAAAAACTACTTATTAATAGGGGCCCAACAGTCATTTTGATCTTTAAAAATAGGGAATTTCTTTAAAAAAGGCGTTGTGCCGGTTTTTCTAAAAAAAATATCTCCGTTGCGCCCGTTGCGTCCGTTGCGCCAAAAAATCTCCGTTGCGTATTTTAGTGGTACCGGATTATGACGGTAGGGGTGCGGATTTTTTCCGGCGAACATTTTTATCTTGTGTATTATTATAGATGTTGAAATATGATTTTTTTTCAAAACGGCATATATTAAGATTTTTTGATATATATGATCAGTACATGTCCTGGGATTGACAAATATGCATTTTATTTGGATTTTAAAGGCGTTTTGAGCTCCAAACCCCAAGCGTCTGTGGCCTGAAAAAAGGCATGCTAAAAAGAAAAAAAATATGTTAACAACATAATTATATGGCACATGCAAATAAATAAACAAAGCATGTCAAGATATAACCTAAGATTATGGCAAATATGGTTCATGAAATACAATGTATATAGAATCTTATAACACTACAGGTGTGTAACGTGGTTTTTCGTTGCATAATTGTGACGTATATATAGTTGTATATGTATAGATCTACACGACTGATGTCAATCTACGAAAATAAATCACATTTTTTTCTCTACAAAAGGAATTTTGCTGTATGATAAAGTCGCTATAAAATTCCTGACAGGTTAATGACTAATGCCTAATGGCTCGGGTAATATAGTAATATCTATAAACAACCATTTATATAGGGCCATTTAACCTTTCAAAATCTTTGTAACTAATAATATAAGTGCATTAAAAGAAAAACATAACTTTGTCACAAATACTTGTTAAAGACTAGAATATTACATTGCATATCAGAGTCACACAAAATGTAACTTGGCAGACTTAACATATAGGATAAGAAATACACATATACATGTATGAAAATAGTTAAAGCTACTCGATGCATATTTAGTTTACATATGAAATGAACTGTCTAAGTATGACCTGAAAGCATCTGATGAACCTTTATACTCTCCGAAATGAACCTCATTAACGTTCGTGAATTTCACCATTATAAATCTGTCATGTCAGACGTTGGTATATAAAAACCAAAATAAAAATTACAAGTACTGTATAGAAAACTAAATCATTTAAAAAATCAAATTATTGTACGGTTTAATAATATTTTATTGCTTTTTGAATACCATTTAAGAACATTATTTCCACAAAACAACATTTTAGGGTAGTTTGCTAAGTGATTTTTATACAGATCATCATTCTAATTACTACATCTATTTCTTAAACGTGCATGGTAAACAGATGTTAATCTATCTCCAATTAAATTATATTTAGGGACAAGTGTGGGTTTGCATTTATCCTTAAGTTTAGTTTTGAAAACATTTAAAGAAGGCGAGTCACGTATATCATTATCAAGACTATTCCATGCCGAAATTGCTGAGGGTATAAATGATCTAGAAAATATTTCTGTTCGTCGTGCTATAATATTGTTACGTAATTATCGTTATTTCTAAGGTTATATTGTCTACTTTCTGATACAAGATTTGGGAACAAAGTGTCCAGATAACTTGGAAGCTCCCCATTTTAAGCTTTATAAATTATTGATAATTTTGCATTAAACGGCGATCTGCTAAAGAGACCCAACCTATTTCGTGCAAAAGTCTTTCTATAGACACTGCGCGAGTCAAACCAGTTACTAAGCGCGCAGCCTCGTATTGCATTTTTTCATATATTTTTTCTTTTTCATAATTATTATAAGGTATAACTATCTCAAATAACACTAGCACATTCTAATAAAGGCCTCATGTAGGAAATATAAATTTGATTTAATGTTGTTCTATTTAATTTGAACTTTAATAAACGCATAGAACCTAATATTTTGGACGCCGAGTTAGTTATATTATTAATATGTTCATGCCAAGTTCCATCATCACTTAAGGTTAACCCCAAATGCCTGTGGTATTGAGTGTAATTAAGTTGAACATTGTTAAAGTACAAAAAAAGGTATTTCATTTCTAATAAGAGAACAAAATAATACTTCTGTCTTATTAGGATTAAAGGTTACAAGCCATTGGTCTGCTCATTCAGTAATAGTTTTAAGATCAATATTTAGAGTCATTTCTAAATATTTAAAATCATCGCTTGTTACTGATAAAGAACTATCATCTTCAAAAAGACGAGTCAAACTAAGTAAGTTTTCAGTAATGTCATTAACATAAATCAAAAAGAGAAGAGGACCAAGCACAGATCCTTGAGGGACACCAGCATTTATGAATTTTGTGTCATATAAAGAAGAACCAACAAAAACGCTTTGGTTCCTCGACATAAGATAGCCAGCAATCTAAGTATTCAAATTATTTGTAATGCCGTACTGATGCAGTATAAACAGTAGACCTTTATGCCAAACACGGTCAAATGCTTTAGAGATACCACAGAACATTATACATGTTGATTTCTTTTCATCAAAAGCTTTACATATTTGATGATAAATGTCAATTAATTTATATACAGTAGAATGCCCTGGAATAAACCCGGTTTGATATTTGTAAATAAGATTGTTTATATGTAAATTATTGTATTCAAAGTAGAACAGAACAGTTTACCATATCCTTCGATAAAAAACGTAGCAGTTGTCACTGGAAGGTTTAAATGATAAATGGGAAAACTTTTTTTCGACTTTGCCAGTATTAATATTATCGTCTACATTTGTTATGTTAGGCATTGCCTAATTAACATACCGAGATGTCATATTTCATCTAAATTTACTTCCATATTTAACATGTACCTTAATTAACCATTATATTTTAACCTTAATTTACCATCATATTTTACTTAAAGACAGTAAAGTATCAATTTAATTGTTTCCAGAGTGATTTAAACTAATTCTTTAATCAAATATAGTATCCATATTATATTTTGGGTCAAGTTGTTGAAACTGACTCGCTACATTTTATCAAATTTGTCACATTTAAATTGGTGGCTTGGCATCCTATTTGTCGTGTATGACCGCGGCCAACACTTTTTTCCCATGAAAAAGAATAAAAATAAATCATTTAATATGTCTTCAATTTCTAATAATCCCAAACAAATTTATTGAACCTTGGACAGAGGGTAACTTTCTGTCCAATATTGAACTAGGTATGCGTCAAAACGTCTATTGATCTAGAGCAAAAATATCTATATAGTAATTTACTCATTAATTTTTTTTATTAACTAAACAATTTATATCCTAATTTAGGTTTTAATAGAGGGCCGAGTTGACCCGTGCCGAGTTGACCCTTTACCAAAAAATATATCTTCTTAGGGGCCCTTGCTCCTCGACCACCTTTACAATTCGTCCTTGATATTCATATTGCTACAATATCGCAGGTGTTACTAAACAGACGTACGGTGCACATTTTCCCTAAGTAAAATGACACCAGGATTTTACAGCGTAGATTGTTATTGTGCTGGTCGATTTTTACTCGATTAAATGAGAAAAATAGTAAATGAATCAATTGTAGCATTTTTTATTCACTTTTTTTTTTAATTATCTCGAACCTTAATTATTTATATACGATTTTTCATTTTTATATAAATTAGTTCCCAATTAATCAATGTTTATAAAGTTTGAAAATTGAAAAAAAAAATCTAAAAATAGATCTACTATTGATTACGTCACAATTTGTATTTTCAACATGGCGGACTGTTGACATATTTTGAGAAAATTTAGAAAACATTATGTAAACTCTACTTTGACCGACACTTGTTGTTGTTTTTACTGACAGGTACTTACACAGTCACTTTACCACTCTTATGTGAGTCTCTGGAAAACACACTGGTTTTGTTTATTTGACGAATTTTAAAACAAAAGTTTAAATTTCCGCGAAATGCGTCATCCGTCATCATCACATCCATGGATTTGCTTTGTCACTATTCTTATTTGAGGCCTTGAGCAATCGCTGAAGAGTTATTCATTAGGTTTTTCATTAGACAAAAAAGTGGTCCTGAGTCAGATCAAAAGTATTATGATGTGGGTTCCTGCTTCCAGTATAGAGTAAAGATCAGGTTTATTTATGTTTATAGCAGAGACTGAGATCTGGCTAGATCTATTTTTGACTGTAAATGTAATTCAAACATATTTGTGTGAGTGTAGTCTATGCTTTATAAGGGTCCATCTGCTTGTAAGGTTTCGTTGTCAAGTACGGACCCCTGATATGTCACCAGTCATGCCCTTAAAGAGTTACATGTAATTTTGAATTTGAAGCACAAAGTGGTATAATTAGACACAGACTAGGTGTTAGCTCAGAGGTCATCAATTGGACAAGGTCATTTTTATAAGGTCGCATCCAACAGGTCATTGTCGATGGTCTAAACTCTGATAACCTACCAGTTCTTTCTGGTGTCCCCCAAGGCTCGGTCCTGGGACCTTGCCTTTTCTTATCTTTAAGTACATAGATGACCTCCCTGATAATGTTAAGGGCAAGGTTAGACTAACTGCAGACAATACAATAGTACACCTTACAATCAAATCAACCCAAGATGCACAAACCCTCCAAAAAGATCTCAACAGTCTTGAAAAGGGAATCTGATTGGTCCGTGGAATTTAATCCAGATAAATGTGAAATCTTAGTTAGTTAGTATCAGCCACAAAAAAACATCCAGTAGCATTCCCTTATAATTTACATGGTTAACAACTAAAATCCACTGAGGTTGCAAAATATTAAGTTGTAAAGATTTATCTTGGACCAATCATATAAACAACATAACAGCAAAAGCAAATAATTCACACAGATGTATAAAAAGTAATGTCAAAACTTAAACAAAGAGGTCAAAGATACTCACTGCATACAAAACCTATATAAGGCCCCATTTAGAATACTGTTCCACGGTTTGGCATCCTTGGCAAAAATATCTTGTTTACAAAATAGAACAAGTTCAAAGGTCAGCTGCCAGATATGTATACAACGACTACAATTACACCAGTCTAGTATCTAAAATGTTAAGTGAACTTAATAATAATTGGCTATTTCTAGAGCAGAGGCGCAACATCAGCTCTGTTACCCTATTCTATAAAATTCAACACAATCTTGTGAGGGTCAACCATCACAATATAGATCTGACACTCACTAGAAACCTGAACTACCTAATACCATACTCAAGGACACAATACCACTCCTATTCATTTTTCCCCAACAACAAGCACATACATGTATTTGTACAATCTGTTTTTACATATTTGCAGGAAATGATGAGACATGTTTGCAAAAATCTTTACTCATCTGTGTTGAATTATTTATTTATAATACATGTAGTGGAATATTATAATATTTTTTATTGAAAATTCAAATACCGGTATGCAAGAATTAATAGATTACAATGTGACTAATGGTCATTTTTCTGTTTTTAATAAGTAACTGCAGGTTATCGATTATGGAGTTACTTGAACCAAAAACTGGTTATATGTATACAACTTTACGTTATTGGGTCTCAATACCAGTCTAAGCAACAAATGAAACTGTAGTTTCTTGTCCATCGGATTTTTCTTATCATGCATGGCTCATTGTAAATGTGTACTGAACAAAATACAAAAAATGCCATGTTTATAAAAGGCTGAGATGAACTATCCTTAGAGTGAAATTGACCCTGATTCTAGATGGATGATTGTAATAGAAAGGATCTAAAGAGCAGAATTTTCTGGATTAAATTAAGACAATAAATAAATATAAAAAAATCTTATCATCAAGTTTTCTTTTCTAAGAGTGGTTTTGTTTTGTATTAGTAGTACAAATTCAATATATATATATATATTTTAGGATACTGTTCTTTTGCAAGTTGTCATGACCTAAAGCTAATTAATGGCTTTTTCAGCTGGCATACTGACATTGCTTCTTGCTTATTTCAGATTATTGTTGCTGTGTTGGTCCCTTACAAGTTTCCACATTCAGCAATGGGTGGTGAAACTTCCCCCAGGGACGACAGCAGTGACACCCAACTGCACCATGCATTTAAGAAGTTAAAAGTGGATCCAGAATGGTATTGTATTATTGGCTGTCATTAATATATACATGTATATTGTTGATGAATGGAACTTGTATAGACAAGTGCTTCAGTTATTAACAAATTTTATTATTGTGATGATTCAAAAAGTATACTTAGTATACATGTGGCAATTTAATATTCAGTTAATTTTTATCGTACAAACTAATGTAATGCCAAATTAGAAAAAGAGATCTGTCTTACTGATTTAGCTTATTTTATTATAATGTTTAAAATGTATTCTGTTACAGTGCACTGCTTTTATCACAGATTATGATAAAGGGTTAATTAAGGGGAAAAACAATGCGTTATTTTTGCAAAAGGGAAAGAAAAAACTTGATGAAATAGAATTTTGAGGTGAAGCGCACATTTTTGTAAAGAATTTTTTTTATAGGAAGATGCTTGTAAATGGCTCTTGCTATAGAATAAAAAAAAAAACCTGTTTTAGAGGCACAAGGATGAAGGTTAAAACATTCTTGTGCAGAATAAGTTAATAAACTGCATAAACACGTACTGTCAATGGCATAACATGAATGTCAATGAAGATGATTCTGTATGCCAGAAGTTAGTCTCAATAATTCGACTGCAAGATCGACAGACCAACTTTACAAACTGATATTCTACAGATGTTGGTCGACCATAGTCTATATAATAAAAAGCCCTAAAGCGCACAGTTTGTTGGGCTAGCCAGAAGTAATACCAGGCTCTTCAATTGATACTGCAATTCAAAGATGCAGTCAGCCCTGACTTTAGACTGTTTGCCGCAATTTGTTTTCAATTCTTTATTGACAGCAAGATATAAATTTGTTAATGACAGTAAGCAAGTTTGACACCTCTGCTTTTGAAAAAACATGATGTATTTTATATATCAAGAGTTTCATATGAACTATACAACTATCATCTATGTAGAAATTGATAAATTAATTAATTTAATTTGCCTAAAAATTAAAGAGAAAATTTTTTTTTTTGTTAGAATCAAAAAGCAAAAGCATATAAATACTTGTGTTAACATGATTTGAGTGCAGCCTAACTAAAGGGGCTTACATTGTTATCTTCATAAATTAACTTTGTTAGTGGATGTGATTGTTAAAACATAAGGTTAAATTTTATTTTTGTTATTTTAGGAATCCAAGTGTTATAAAAGGAAATGTTGAAAATCTGAGAGATTTGTGGATAAGGTAACAAAATAACTTGCTTCTTTTTTTTTCTTTTGAAAATGTTTTTATGGAGGTACATGTATGATAATTTTACTAATGTATGTTCACCTTATAAGGCAAAAAAAATACATAACTGGTTTGGATCCTAAGGTTTTTGCCAGGTACCCAGCTTTGAAACTGAACACCAAGGGTTTTCATAATTGAAAGTTTGAGAGTCATTTACTTCTTTGTTTTGACTTGTGACTACCAAAATGTTGCGCTTTTCTGTCTGTACCTACATATATATAATGTGATTTCCAATGTAAGATTTTACAGTCTCTGACTTCCAAGTTTTAAAACTTAATGGAAGCCCGGAACACCATTTTATGATGCATGCCTCAAACCCTAAAACTTATTAAAAGTGATTTTTGGACAAAAAACACACGGTACCCTAATACCTCTGAGGATCTTGGTCAACATAAAATTTAGCGGCTAATAGCCATTTTATGTCCCCTTGAAAATATTTTTCAAAGTATTTTGTCATTTGACTAGTTGTAAATACATGTAGCACCAGAGATTAGTCAAAATCGTCTTTCATGATTCTGCTCCAATCAACATTTACTCTGTTGGTGAGCCGTAAAACCAAACAACCGCATCTGTATAGATTAAGTGAACAAGAACAATGATATAGAAATGTTGATAACCGAATAGCAATTTTTAAATTAAATAAAAGAAAAAAAGTTTTTTTGTTTTAAATCAAGAATT